AAGATGGGGTCTCACTCTTGCTCAGGCTGGTTTTGAACTCCTGAGCTCAGGTGATCCACCCATGCCTCAGCCTCCTAAAGTGCTAGGATTACAGATGTAAGCCACTGTTCCTGGCCACAAATAATAAATGCAATATTTTTGGAAGTTGGGCGGCACCTATGGCTCAGTGGGTAGGGCACTGGCCCATATATGGAGGGTGGTGGGTTCGAACCTGACACCAGCCAAACTGCAACAAAAAAATAGCCGGGCATTGCGGCTGGCACCTGTGATCCCAGCTACTTGGGAGGCTGAGGCAAGAGAATCTCCTAAGCCCAGGAGTTGGAGGTTGCTGTGAGCTGTGATGTCATAGCACTCTACTGAGGGTGAAAGAGACTCTGTCTCTTAAATAAATAAATAAGTAATAAAAATATGCTTAGAAGTTGAAATTAATGTGAAAAAATCCATGATGAACAAAATATTAATTTTTAAATTTTATTTATTTTTTATTGTTGAGGATGAGTATTACATATATTCAGGAATTATTTTTATTGAGTATGATAATGACATCATGGTTCTATTTTAGGTTTTTTTGGGGTTTTTTTTGTAGTTTTTGGCCAGGGCTGGGTTTGAACCCGCTACCTCTGGCATATGGGGCCAGCACCCTACTCCTTTGAGCTACAGGTGCCACCCATTAAATTTTTTTTTTTTTTGAGACAGAGTCTCACTGTGTCACCCTAGTAGAGTGTTGTGGCATCACAGCTCACAGCAACCTCAAACTCTTGGGTTCAAATGATTCTCTTGCCTCAGCCTCGTGAGTAGCTGGGACTACAGGCACCCGCCACAAAGCCTGGCTATTTTTTCATTGCAGGTGTCATTGTTGTTTAGCTGGCAAAATATTAAAATTTTAAATAAATAGAGTTACAGGACCATGAGGAGGGATGAAGCAAAAGAAAAACATTAGTACTGATCCTGCCATTATTTCTGAATTGAATATGGCACCACTTTTCAAACTTTAAGGAGCATCAGAATTTCCAGTGATCTTATTAAAATTCATATTCACAGGCTGGGCATAGTGGCTACCTGTAATCCTAGCACTTGGGAGACAAAGGTGGGTGGATTGCCTGAGCTTACAGGTTTGAGACCAGCCAGAGCCAGAGCGACACCCTGTCTCTAAATAATAGCTGGATGTTGTGGTGGGTACCTATAGTCCCAGCTACTCGCGAGG